CCCAGCAATATGCTTACAGCCTGGAGAGCTGCCATTGGGGTTACGCTCTGTGGACCAAATGTGGGGCTTTTCTCACATCTAAGAACTGATAGATTAGACTATCATTAGCCAACCAGTACTTCTATTCCCTTAAAGAAAGTTCAACTCTTAAAGTAGCTGATGAACTTTGAAGCCAAGTTACAGGTATACTCAGAAGAAAATAGAACAGTCCAACTCATTTTAGATGAATCTTGTAAGGCCATGGGTGTTTTTATTTAAAAGTTAACCATTTGTTACCATTCCTCATCTTGAAGAGGTGAAGCTGTGTTCTTGGGCAATCCTCTACAATCCATAGGACAATAAGGCACTGGTAGGTGTTCCTGAGATGCCAGACCCTGATGATGAAGTCCCCGGATTAGATTCCCAGGAGTATGACCTTGGACAAGTGACTTAATCTCTTAAATATCCAGATTGTATTATCTATAAAACAGGAATGATAGTGATGCCTACCAGTGGTATTATTTTGAGGATAACTGACTCACTACATTTGATGTTTTAAGCCAACTCTAGCAAATAATAAATGTTTGTTACACAGGGATTACAGCTGGAAGGTTAATTGTCTTCCTTAAGTTCCCTAAGACATAGGAAGTTCAAAGAGTAGTTCTTTCATCTGAATTCATAACTGAAGTTACTCCAGTTTCTCTGGCTCTTACTCATCTGCTGCCCCTTTAAATCCTAACTCTCTGAATAGAAATCATGAATCTCTACAAAAATGTATACAGTTGAAGCAAAAGGTTTCATATACATTCAGATAATTAGATAGATAGATAGATAGATAGATAGATAGACAGACAGACAGATAGATAGATGATAGGTGACAGATAGTTTTATTTATATCAGTATTTGTACTCACTACATGTGATAATTTGGCATGCATATATTTCATTTTATTTCAATGCTAATCATAATCAACCATATTCATTTCATGGCTCACCTAGCTGAAGTGTGCAAAACACTGCACTTAAAGTTATTACTATCAAAATTACAGTTTCAAGAGAAAGGTGCTTCAGTGGCTAAGATCGCTCACTCCTCTTGAAGAGAACTCAAGTTTGGCTCCCAGCACTCACATCTGGCACCTCCCTACTGCCTGATAACTCCAGCTCTGGGAGAGCCAATGCCTTCTCCTGATCTTGGCAGTAACTTACTCACATGCACATTCCCCCCTGAACACACACACACACACACACACACACACACACACACACACACACACTTACTTCAAAATAAAAATAAATTCTTAAGAAAATGGTAGTTTCTCCATCTTGGCATCTTTAAGATAAAGACTGCCATTTCTGTTAACTTTTATTAAAATTTTGAACTGAATATTTTTCCTATGTCTCTATTTTAAAACAATCTGTAAAAAGACTACAAGACTTGGCAGTGGTGGCTCATGCCTTTAATCCTAGCACTCAAGGTAGAGGTGTGTGGATTTCTGTGAGTTTGAGAACAGCCTGGTCTACAGAGCTAGTTCCAGGACAACTAGAGCTGTTATGCAGAGAAGCCCTGTCTGGAAAACAAAACAAACAAACAAACACTACAACTATAACACCATATAGATGGTTTTAAATCTTAGTTGAAAGTGACTTAATTTCCCTAAATTTTAGTTTGCTTACCTGATGATTACGATACAGTTCCAAAGATTTAAAAAAAAAAAAAAAAAAGCTGTGTGTTAAATACACAGCAAAAAGTGACTGCTGTTAAACACACATTGGCTATTACAATCAGATGGTCTTTATTTTTTATATTTTCAGATGGTCTTTAAATAACAAGCTACTTCTTTGAACACTAGCTCCTTTTTCTTTTTCCCAATCTTTGCCTTTTCTTTCATTTTGTGACTGTTTCCTTTGCTATGCAAAAATCTTCAGTTCCATTTGTTTCTGTTTGCTCTTTCTGCTTCTGTTTCTTTGGGGTTGTATCCAAGACAACATGGCCCATACCAATTTTCTTCTAGTATATTTAGTTTCTGATCTTAAGTTACTACTTTATTTGAGCTGATTATTGTGAAAATGGGCCAGGTAAGGCTCATCTGTACGTAGACAGCCAATCTTCCAAATAACAGTCATCAAGGATGGTTCTTTACACCATTATGTATCCTTGTTATCTTTTTTAACAAAATCCAATGAATTGATCATACATATATGTGAGGGGAACCCTGAAGGTGTTCAGGCTGGGAAGCAAACCTTGAAGAGGTGAAGCTGAAAACTCAGAGCAGATTGACTTCTCAATCTGGATCAAAGACTTGGGAAAGTCTGATGCCATGTGGCTCACTGTCAGTTTATTTAAAACACAAGCAATCTTTTTTTTTTTAAATCTTCTTGTTGTAATACAATCCCCAATACACAAGGAAGTATAGTTACATCAAAACTTGTCTCATGGTACATGTCATTTCTTCTAAAAAGATGGGTTTTAGAGATAGGCTGCCTGTACTAGCTTAAGGTCCTAAGGAAGGGTCTCACCTAGTGTTGGTCATAGAGATATTGTAGAAGTCATTTGGTCTATTAGACACTTCTGTTTCTAGTGTGGAAGCTTGGGGAGTCCCTGGATGTATGGGTCATTTAGATTATTAATCACCCCTATTCCTGGCTATAGGAGCTTGATATGACATGGTCTAATTGATAATGCAGATTACCAGGCTATTAATCACCTCCAAACCCCAGTTTTTCTCAAAGAACAGATTATATATTCTTCCCTTTGAAAGAAAAATCCTGGGTGTGCTAATATTCCTGGGTTCCCTGCAGTCACAAGGACCTTTGCAGTCAAATGCTCTACCCCTGAGCTATACCCCCCACAAGGACCTTTATGCCCCCAGCATTTGTGCATTTATTTCTAGGCTTTCACTCTATTCCATTGATCAATGTCTCTATTCCTATGAGCATACAACCATTTTAATTACTTTTGTTTTGTATTGTAATTTGATGCCAGAACAAATAATCTTATTTTCAGATGTCAGAGTGCCTAAACAGGCACTGTTTCAAAAGAAGACACAAAAGAGCCTTGCTAATGTATGGGGGATGGGGGAGAAACTCAACATCACTAACCTTCAGGGAAATAGTTAAAACCACAACAAGATGGCATCTCACCTATTAAAATGACTATTTCCCCAAAAGATGAAAAATAACACGGTGTTCAGGAAAGGGAAATTTGTTACCTTGTAGGTGAGGATATAAGTTAGCACAGCTATTTTCAAAAACAGTGTACTGATTATTCAAAATACTGGAACTATAATATGATCCAGCCACCCCATTTCTGGGCATATATCCAAAGGAATTACAATCGGTATGTAGAAACATCATCTTCATTTCCATGTTAACTGCCACATTATTCACAGAGCCAAGATGTGAAACAACCTAAGTGCTCATCAACAGATGAATGGATTTTTTAATCTGGCATTTATACATACACAAGAGAATATCACTCAGCCTTTAAAAAGAAATTCTGTCATTTGTAGTAACACCGATGAAGCTAAAGAACATGATACTGTGTGAAATGAGCCAGGCACAGAAAGGCAAATACCCCATGATCTTACATAAATGTGGACTCTAAATGGTTGCATTGATAAAAAGAAAGAAAATGGTGGTTATCATAGGCAAGGCCAACAATGTTGATGGACAGAGAAAGGGAGTGGTTTGATCAAGGGAAACAAAGTTCTAGTTAGACAGGAAGATCTGGTGATCTATTATACAGATGGCAACTAGTTAATTTAGTGTTGTATATTTCAAAATTGTAGGAAAATGGATTCTAAATGTTCCTGCCACAAAAAGTAGTATGTGAAATTATATGTATGTTAACTAGCCTGATTTTTTAATTCCACAAAGGCATATACACAGTGAAATATTACACTATATCCTAACATACATAATTTCTCAATTAAAAAAAAAGTTGTTAACCTTTACCAAGAAGTACATGAAATTCTCAGTGATGGTCCCCAGTACCAGCTGGTTATCAAAATGTCTTAAACTTCCTGGTGCATGAGCTTTCCTCCATCTCTCAAGATGGAGAACAGGTGAATTGAGGGAACCAGATTGCCAAATCAGACTGAGCAAGAATTACAGGTCTTACAGCTAAACTCACTAAAGACTCAAAAGATAAAGCAACAACAAAATGAGTCATGTAAGTTTTCCTCTTAGAGAGGTCTAAAACTGTCTGGTATAAGTGCCTATAACTACCATTCTTTTCCTACATACAATGACATTGGTTCAAACTGAACATACATGGTAGAAACAACAGGTATGGCTTGTGACCTGAATGGAAAAAATAAATAAATATCCTTTCTTTTACAGAACAACTGTTTGTGATTTGTGATGCCCTTCAGATTTCAGTTTTCAGAAGGTCATCCCCCATAAATGAACAAAACTCAGAAAACTCAGTTTTATTTACAACTGGCAACCTAAGTAGACCTGCTCTATCCTGCTAAAAGCATCCTATATAAGAAGCCTTCAGCTAATAGAGTCTGTGTCAGTCAGGAGTGAAGTCATTCATGTTTGTGAGTGGGAGGACCTGGAATAGAGCTGCCCTTCACAACAGTGATACTCACATGACTGTAGAACCACATGACTGTAGCTTTGCTTTTTTAAGTTTCAGGTAATCATTTAAGAACTTAGTTGAATTTCAAACACATAAAAATAGAGGCTGATGTTGAGGACACCTCAAAACTCTTGAATCAGTTTCAATTTTTAAATGGTATAATTTGCTTTCTAAGTACAGTGAAACTGCTATAAGGTCCTGAGCATTCTGTTCATTTCGTCATTTTTAAGTAAGATACTTGAAGTAGTACAAAAAAAAAAAAAAAAAAGAGTTTCTTTTGTTTCACTTGAGCATGATAAAAGCCACGACATTGCACACATTCACAACTCAGGGGTGACTGAGTCACCTTTAACACTGTGTATGTACTCCCTTCCCTGAAGTACTGTGTTCTCGAGTTGATCCAAGTGAAAATAATTACATAATCCACATCTTTGCAGATACTCCATAGACAGAAGCAGTGATCCTGGGAGATTTTTCTATGTTGACATTACAACAGGAGCTCTAATGACAGCAAGACCACTAGACAGAGAAGAGTTTTCTTGGCATAATATAACAGTCCTCGCTATGGAAATGAGTAAGTAACAATTTATTTGTCTCTACAAGGTTAAAAATGTTCAGGTATTAAAGTTTCCAGGCCTTGTAACAAACAGTATGTTCCAGAGGAGAAAACGAAATAATACAAATAAATGGTCATGTGATGTGGTCTAAAGTTCATGTCAGTAAGTTCTGGTTTGTTGTTGTTTTTATGTAAATACTCAGCTATTGTTCTGTGTCAGTCCAGAGGTGAGTCATTGCATGTTTAGGACTCAAGGCCTGGAGCAAAGCTGTCCTTCCCAACGGCAATACCAGTTCTCAGAAGCAGAACCATGCAACTGTAGTGTTGCACTTTTCCTCCTTGCAGATAAGCTAGAACATTCCATGTTAGAACTACCTGTGCTGTGTCCTGGAAGTTCTAAATTTTCTTTCCAATCTGTTTTGGTTCTAGCGATTTTTTTTTTCAATTTCCTCTCTGATTTCTTCAATAACCCAGATTGAGATGATTGAGGGATCTATTATTATTTTCATGTTTCTATAGCTTCTTTTGCTATTAATTTTCAGGGTTTTTTATTACAGTATGACCTGATAGCATAAATTACTTTGAGCTTATTGTGCATTTGTTAAAACTTTCTTGTAATATAACTTGATTTTAGAGAAAGTTCCATTGACTGCTAAAAAGATTGTGTAGTCTACATTTGTTGGGTGAGATATTACATAGATATTTATAAGTTTCATTTGATCTATGGGGAGGCTTAACTCTGAAATTTCTCTGATTTCTTTTTTTTAATCTAGATGATCTATAACAGTGGGATATTGATATCATTCACTGTTATTATATCTTGGTCTTTCTGTCCTTTTATGCCCAGTAATGTTTTTGTTTTTATAAAATTATGTGTACCAATATTCAAGGCATATGTATTTACAGGCATTTTTTGAGGCAATGTCTCACTGTGCAGCCCCATCCTGACCTAGAACTCACTAGTTGGAAAAGACTACCCTCAAACTCAGAGAAATCTGACCGCCTTTCTCACCTACATGCTGGGATTAAAGACATTCACCACCATAACTAACACAAAAAAAGCATCTTAAGATTTTTCTTTTTCCTCACAGGTGGTGAGCCTATTTACCTCTTTTAAATAATCCTAAAGTATACTGTGGCTAGTCCTAGTTGTTTCCAGGCTTCATCTGTTAGGTGTGTATTTTTCCATCCTTTCATTTTTTCAGTCTGGTTGCCTTTTCCCATGAGGTGTGTTTCTTGAAAAGAACAAACAGTCATATCTTGTTTTTGATCCAATCAGCTAGTCTCTATCTTTTAAAATCAATCTATATTTATTTCTTAGAAAGATTTTCTGACTTCTATAATTTTTCCCCTGTTTTCTCACTGGTTTGATTATTTCTTGATTTTTCTTTCTCTCCTATTAATATTAATGGTTTTCTGGTTTACTGTGATGGGCATGACTAGTTCTTTCCCAGCTCATTTCTGCTCATTTACTCCTATCACAAAATGTATCCTTTGCTGAGCTCTCTGTCCCATGTCATATCCCTTTAGGAATCTTCTGCAGGTGGGTTTAGTGGTCAAGAACTGCATTAGTTTATGCTCATTATGCTCATTTTATTTGTTTTTAAACAATAACTTTATTGAATCTGGATAATCTTGGTTGGCAGGTATTTAGTTTTTAGGCTCAATGACTATCATTCTATGCTTCCCTGGCTTTGGGGATCTTTAATGAAGAGTCTGGTATAACTCTGATCGGTTCATATCTTTTGAGTTAGTGTTTCCCTCTAGCAGCCTTCACTATTTTTGTTGTTGTGTAGATTTGGTATTGTAACTATGATGGCAGGTTCTTTCTGGACATGGACATTCTGTGTTCTTCGTATCTTTTGAGCTTAGATGTGGATTTCTTGGAATGTTCTGCTATAATTTCATTGACTAGGTGTCCTATACCTTTAGATTGTATCTCAGCTCTTTCTAATCATAAATTCCCAGGTTGCTCTCTTCTCCATGTCTGAGAGTTCCTTGAAAGTTGTGATTGTGTTCATTTATTTCACTGTTTATAACTGAATACAGTATTTCCTTAACTTCACCTTCAATTCTTCTCTCTTCTATTTAATCTAGTTCACTGGTAATGCTTTTCACAGTCTTTACATATTGAGGTTTTCATTTCCAATAACTGCTTATTAATTTATTTGTTTGTCTTTACTTTTACAGGGTGGGGTAATTTTGAGACAGAATTTCTCTGTAAAAAAAAAAAAAAAAAAAAAAAAAAAAAAAGTCCTAGATGTCCTGGAACTCCCTTCATAGACCAGGCTAGCCTTGAACTCATAGAAATCCACCTGCCTCTGACTCCTGAGTGCTGGGATTAAATGTGTGAGCCACTACACTGGACTCCTTGTTTTGTCATTGTTGTTGTTTGTTTTGTTTTATTTTATGTTGAGAATTTCGATTTTCTTGCTGAATTCCTCATCCATGGTACTTTCTTATCCAGGCTCTGATCTGCTTTCCTTGTCTCATTCGCCTGTTTGTTTGTCTCTTCCTGCAAAGCCCTGATCAGATGAAGTCTTTGTTTGGAATTTCAAACGTTTCAACATAGTTGGATTCAATTCTTAACACATGATATTTGGCAGAGGCATGCTACCCACCTTTGCATATTTGTGTTTCTCTTTTGTGATTTGTCCATCTGTCCCTATAGATATATTTTCCAGTTTATTATTGGGTTTAGAAAGCAGTCTGTTCTTGAGAGCTCAATTCCAATACCACTCAAGAGAACAGGCCACTTTAATAATAGCGAGATTAAATCGAAGCAGACACAAAAATATTCTCAAAATAGTTGTAGTCACTGATGACCATAGACAAGCAAGTGAAAATAAAGCAGAGTAAACTATAAACTTAGAAAGTAATTTGGTTAAGGTTAGCAAAATATCTTCACCAGTAAAGACATTTACTACAAAATACTAAGTTTGACCCCTAGAGTCCACATAAGTTGGGAGGAGAGAACTGAATCTACAAAGTTGTCCTCTGATGTCCACACACAAGTGTACCATACACATATCATGCTCACACAAACATGCATACTCACACAAACCCACCCAACTCAATCACCCCACAAACAATTTTTAATTAATTAGATAAAAGAAAAAATAATGAATGAATGAATGAAATGGAGATAGAAGATAAACCAGTGAGGTTAAATAAATGAAAAAGGGAAAAATGTTAGAAAGAGATACTTGAAATTTTATTATACAATAAAATCACTGGAGAGAGAGCTGGGAGTTGGCTTAGCAGTTAAGAGCACTCTTTCAGAGGGCCCAGGATCTAATCATAGAACCCACATGATGGCTCACAACCATCTGCAACTCCAGCCCCAGAGGATCTGGCAACCTCTTCTGACCTCCACAGGCACCAGGCATACACATAGCGCACTTATATGCAGTAAAAACCACTCATATGCATAATAAGTTTTAAAAAAGAAAAATACACAAACAAAACTAGATATGCAAATAATAAAAGCTTCTTTGAAAAATATAAATAATAACGGGCTGGTGAGAGGTCTCAGCAGTTAAATTGCTTGCTACAGACTTGATGACCAGTGTAAACTGAAGCCCACATGAAGATCAAAGGGCAGAACTGACTCCACACAAGGGCAGTGGTATGGAGGTCCACTCACACACACATGAAATACTATACTTTTAAGAAAATCAATAATCTGGATCGGTCCTATGCTGGGGCCTCTGGTAGTGGGTCAGTATTTATCCCTAGTATACTAATGGACTTTGGAAGCCCATTCCACATTGAGGGACACTCTCTCAACCTAGACACATGGAGGAGGGCCTAGGCTCTGCTCCAAATGACATGACAGACTTTGAAGACTCCCCATGGAAGGCCTCACCCTCCCTGGGGAGCAGAAAGGGAATGGGATGGGGGCTGGTACAGGGAACAGGGGAGGATGGGAGGGTGCAGGAACTGAGATTGACAGGTAAAACAAATTGTTTCTAATTTAAATTTAAAAATTACATTAAAAGAGAAAATAAATAAATCAAGTACTAACAGTATAGCAAAAAGATGAAAAATTTAATGAAAGGAGAAGAGAAAGCGAAAGAGGAGGAGGAGAAATATTTTTTTAATAACAAAGTGTTGAAGCAGCCTTTGCCCAACACCTCCAATTTTGGAGTCTGCAGCTGGAATTTCCTATCCTTACAAGGTTCACAGTGTTGTTGAGTCTGAACCACAAACTGCCAGTTATCCCAGACAGGGATTTGTGTTAGGAACATTCCTTCTTTCTGTAGCAGGAGCCACTGCCGACTGCCTGTACTTAACTCATATGTAATCAGGTATACATGCAACCTGCGGAACCAGGTAGGTTCTTACTCCAAAGATACATTGTTCTTCCTCCCTGAAGGGCTCCAGCTACAGATAGTTTCCCAGTTTTCATCACACAGCCTTTCTGCTTCTGTACTTTTTATCTGCCTCTCTTTCTCCTTTCATTAACCTTGCCCTTCAGTCAGGGTAAGACCATTAGACATAGAGCCAATGTCTAACTCATCACCTTTCCCCTAGGACAGCCTAATCCATGCAGAATTATTTAGGGGGAAAAAAACAGCAAAACATAAATATTTTTGAGAAAGAAAGAAAAAAAGATGAACTGGAAAAGCGATGTATTGTGGGATTTTGTAAAATTCTTCACATTTTTGTCTTGTAATTGCTGCTGTCTCTCTGGGGTGCAGATCAAAACAGGAGAAATAGAGAGTATGGGAGCTGTGCATTTGTCTCCAAATCTCAATTCCAAAGACTCAAACCAAAATACACATTTCCCCCATGGCTTCTGACCCAGCTAAGGCTGTGGCTGTGAAATGAGATTGATCCTATAATATCCTTTTGGTCCCTAGAGAGAAATAAATGTGCAGTGTTTCATGTATCCCAGTGTGTAACTTGAAACTGTTCTGAAACTTAAGTCAAAGAAGGGATTATTCCACCTAAGTTAAGCCTGATGTTCCACAAGCACACATCCATATCAGAATGGGCTACTTGACATCCTAGAATATAGAATTGACTTTTAATTCTGTAGACCAAAGTATGAACCAAGCAGGAGTCAAAACCTTAAGTTTCATTTTGTAGCACTTGCTCCCCATTAAGTATTGCCCTTTCCTTCATAATTCCTGATGTCACACCCCAGAAGATGCTTCTTCCTTCTGTCCTAGCTGGTGCATGGCCACACTCTTAACAGGCAACACACACCCTATGACCATGTTAGAATGTCCATGTATTTTACCTGTTCCTTGATTATCCAGTTTGGCAAGATACCTTTCTGCCTTACTGAGCTCTCACCATCAATGTCCCTTATGTTCTCTTTAGACAATCCCTCCCAAGTGGGAAGTGTTGCTGTCACAATCAAAGTCTTAGACGTGAATGACAATGCTCCAGAGTTCCCCAGATTCTATGAAGCATTTATCTGTGAGAATGCCAAAGCCGGACAGGTAAGGTAAACCCCGGATGTTCAGAGGTAACACTTATCTTTAACTGTCTTAGTGAGGTTTTCTATCACTGTGATCAACAGCCATGACCAAAAGTCATTTGGGGAGGAAAGGCTTTACTTCATCCTATATTTCCAGGTAATAATCCATTACCAATGGAATTGAAGGCAAGAATTTAAGCAGGGGAGGAACCTGGATGAATGAGCTAATGCAGAGGCCATGGGAAACAGCTGCTTACTGGCTTGCTCCTCATGGCTGAAATGACCTGCTTGTAGAATCCAGGACCACCTGCTCAGGGGTGGTACTACCAAGAAGGTTCTGGGCCCTCCCATATCAATCATTAATCAAGAAAATGCTCTGTAGACTTGCCTATAGGCCAATCTTATGGAGGCATTTTTTTCAGTTTAGGGTTCCTCTTCCCAAATGGCTCAAACTTATATCAAGTTGACATAAAAAACTAACCAGCACAATAACTTAATTCATGATCAAGAACATGTCCACACCAGAAATTATGGGTTAGAAAACAGAGTTCCCAACTTCTTTATATCAGGTGCCAATTATTTATTTGTTAAGACAACCACTTGGATCCCAAAATGTGGTCTGAATAGTGCTTTAACAAGTTCTTGGCTCACCGAATAGTATAGTTATGAAAGTAACCTCAGTTCTAAAACATATTTCAGAAGGCATCTTTTTAAACCTAACCTTGTATTTCATCAGTTTCCAAATGGCCTGACTGAGAAACATACAGAACTCCATTTTCAGTGGCCACATATGAATGTATTTGTCAGGTACTTCATCTCCTCTACCTGTCCTTCCACATCCTCCGTTCTACTCCTGCTTTTGTATGCTTCTTTCCTCCATTAACAGTCTTGATGTCCATCTTAGAGCATACAGACTCTGTGGTGCTATGAATTCATATAGAGCAGATGGATCAAGATCATTTTGATAAGGAAATCAGGGGCTTGGGAATTCCGCATCTGACCTGATGGTAACTCAGACTCGGACAGCAATAACTCTTCTACTACTCACCAGGAACATCACCCCTGCAGCCTCTACACAAAGCTGTGTCCCTAAGACCAACACTTACTGAAGATCTTTCAACATCCTTAGCCTAATATGTCTGTCTTCTTTCCAAAGAAAGTGACTTTGTTTCTGTAAATCAAGGAGCCCTTTAGTGACTCAAATACAAACTGACCTCAACACCAATTCTTAAAATTTAGTGCAAGTCTGTCTCCCTCCTAACAGATTTTTCTTAGTCTAAGAACTTCAATGTTCACTGACTCTCTAGTCTAAAGGGGTCTAAAATAATACCAACCTAATAACAATTACAATGAAAGCTTTATTGAACAAGGCAGCATCCATGGTAATAGCTGTAAAGAACCACATTAACAAGGTCAGACAGAAGACACAAGGCAGCCGAGCTACTGTGTTGAGGCGAACACATTGAGATGGGCAGGTTGAGCTTTTCAAGTTCTGACCAGGTGGTTTGGGCTTTTAAATGATTTTTTTTTCTATTTTACTTTTTGATTATTATACATAATATAGCATAATTTTTGTTTTACTCTAAAATATGACTTAATATCAGTATATATATATATATTTATGCCATGACAAGAGAGGCTAAATGTAGCCATGAATTTAGAGGAGACTAAGTAGTACAATGAACGAAGGCCTTCTTTCCTCTTGAAGGCTCCAGAAAAAGAAGCTGCACTATGACAAGAAAAAAAAAACATCCTAACCACCTCTCTCCTGCTTTTGGAGCCATGGGTGCCCCCCCCCACTTCTAAGGACTGGAGTTATGTTCAGGAACTGGGCTCCTGTACCAATTTGTTCAAGGGTACCTCCTACTTTCTCTTCCAAGAGGCTCAGTGTGACTGGATTTATGTTCAGGTCTTAGATATATTTGGACTTAATTTTTGTGTTGCAATAGACATGGATCTACCTGCAGTCTTCTACACACCATCATCCAGTTGTGCCAGCACCATTTGTTGAAGATGCTTTCCTCCACCCATTGTATACTTTTAGCTGTTTTGTCAAAAATCAGGTGTTCGTAGGTATGTGGGTTAATATCAAGATTTTTGATTTGATTCCATTGGTCTACTTGGCTATTTTTGTGCCAATACCAGGCTGTTTTCAGGACTACAGCTCTGTAGTAGAGCTAATGGTCCTTAGTGAAAGTCTTTGAACTGCAACTCATCCGTGACTTGGAGTTAGGAGCCAGTGTAACAAGCCTGCTACATTTGTCATCTTCAGCACAAGACATGGGCTCTGGTTTTGAAGGTTTTCAGCAGCACCCAGCTAAGGCGACCTTATTGTTATATTAACCATCAGCTCTTGCCCAACACTGGTCATTCTCACCTCTGCCAGGTGTGTGTGTGTGTGTACACGTGTGTGCGCGCACATGCACACGCTCACACACTCTCCTCCTACAGTGGATGAAAGCCATACAAAAGTGTATTGCGTGCCTGATGATTAGAAAGTAAAGAGTGGAGAGTGCTGAGCAAGACATTATGCAAGTGGTGCTAAGGACTGTCAGGAGAACAGAGGCCAATAAAGTCGGCCATGATGCTCCCATTGTGATTCCTACCACACTGTCTACCCACCCTTCAAAGTCCCATTTCAACCTATACACACAAGGTGTAAGACCTGTCTTAAAACTTTTCCCACTCTATTATCTATTCAAAGCATCCCCTATTGTTTTTGGTTTTGTTTGTTTGTTTTTGTTTGTTTGCTTGCTTGCTTGCTTATGTGGGGAGGCATGGCAGGGATGAGGGGAGGATACAGGGATCAGGAGGTATATGGAACTGGGATGCTGGGGTGCACAATATGAAATTCCCAAAGAATCAATAAAGAAGCTATTTTTTTTTAAATCCCCTAAGAAACATTTTTGTTCTGGAGCTTCCCGCAGCCATTTTACCCCAAATAAACACACAGATACTATATTAGTTATAACATTGTTGGCCAATGACTAGGCCTTCTTATTGGTTAGCTCTGTATTAATTATCAACCCATTTATATTAATCTAAGTATTTCTACCTGGCCTTATCTTAATGGAGAACACCTGCCATGTCCTATCCTCCCGGTCCCTCATGGCAAATCTGTCTGCCTACGTTCCCCAGCATTCTCTTCCTCTCCTAGTCCCCCATCTCCCTGTCTCTATTGGCCACAGTGTTTTATTCATCAATCAATAAGAGAAACATATATACAGAAGGCCATCTCCTATCACATTTTATCCCTTTACACTTGGCAATCAAAATAAAAAGGTACAGAATTTGCTTCTCCACGGGGACAGGGCAGATGGTGCCCTGGGTTGTAAGCAGCACTGACATGAGGCTGAGCTTTATGTGGCGGTTGTAAGCAGCACTGACATGAGGCTGAGCTTTATGTGGCGGTTGTAAGCAGCACTGACATGAGGCTGAGCTTTATGTGGCGGTTGTAAGCAGCACTGACATGAGGCTGAGCTTTATGTGGCGGTTGTAAGCAGCACTGACATGAGGCTGAGCTTTATGTGGCTATGTCCCCTGCTCCCCTGGCCCCAGCTTTATTACTACTCCATTCCATCCACTTTTAGATTTAACAGTCAGGCATTCCAGTAGGCTTACCCTGAAGCAGAGCTCTAAAATATGACATTTCTGAGACTGATAAAAAGGAAAAGCAGAGGGACTAAGTAAAATAAAAATTTTAAAACGTCTAGCTACAATAAAGATCCATTAGCAGCCTTACAGAGATCTAGAACTTTCCCAGATTTGGGGGGCTAGTGAAGCCCTTACACTACCCTGTGTCAGCTCATAATTGGTGCAGGTTTCCCTGAAAGGGTATGCTGACCATGGGTAAGGTATCTGTCTACACTGAAGGTGGTCCCTGAAGACACTGGAAGGTAACAAGCAGGGAAATAAGTCCTGGGAGGATCTGAACAGTATGCAGAAATCCCTCCACCCTTTGGTATCTTGTAACACTCTGGGTCCTCAAGCTGACTTTTGATGTAGTCATTTTTGTCCTAAAAAAAAAAAAAAAAAAAAAAAAAGGACAGCTTTACCAGCAGAAATGGCAGATTTACAGGCCAGACCATCTGTGCTACAGGGTATACAGGGTATTACAGTGAACACCAATGGAAACCAACTCATCAGAACTTGGTCCACAGCCCACAGCCCACAGCCCACAGCCCACCAACTAATGCTCCAAATGTCTATTTCACCCAGCTTTTTTAAGTGTTTTCCATGAGTTTCTGTAGCTTCATGAAAGGTATCCCATTGACAAACACTGTGGGAAGGAAAGAGCAACAGAACTTGGACTAAGGACAAGGGGAAGTCCTCTTGCTCTCCCTGCCACTGAGCTTCATTTTTTATTTTATTTTATTTTATTTTATTTTACGTTACTCTTCCCAACTGAGCCACATCCTCACTCCTCTGACTCTAGTCTGTGTCCCACAATGGTGAGCTTCTGCTCTGCATGTTTTCTGATTCCCTTCCTGAGCCAACAAAACATGACGGTCCTGTGGTACTTCCCTCCCAACCACATTCCATAGCTTAACAATACACTGCCCTGTTTATTTGCCTCTAGGTACTGGTTATTTTTAAACAGAGACATCTCAGAGATGGCAGTTTAGTCACAAAATACTTAATGATGGGATATAGACCGAGTGAGAGGGGGACCTTGGGGACAGGCAGGACCTTGTGACACTCCATAGTTCTTTCATTCCTTCTCTTTAACCATCCAAGCTGGGAGACTATTATGCACCTAAAACATGTAGGCAACACTTGTTCTTTACCTGCTACATATTCAAAATCAAGATCATGCTTAATTAATCCTAAACTGTGTGATGGCATGGAGGGTTTCCAGGTTAGTCTCAGGACATCTCCTCATTGGGGAAATGACTTAGTGTTGAACTCAAAGTTTAGACTTCCACTAGCCTTTGCCTTTTACTTTGTATCCAACTCACCCTGAACCTATGCCCCTCCTTCAGCTCATCCAGACAGTGAGTGCCGTGGATCAAGACGACCCTCACAATGGTCAGCATTTCTACTACAGTTTGGCTCCCGAGGCTGCTAACAACCCCAACTTCACTGTCAGGGACAACCAAGGTAAGCAGTGGACCCGGGGCTATCTGTGCTTTTCTACCGCTCAGGCTGGGCATTTTCACTTACTATACTACACGGTTTGAGTCTTCAGGCTTTTTTTTCTAATAGCAAGATGATATTAATGCTAATTTGTAGTCTACAAGGTTTTGTGTCATAACATCAAAGACAAAGAGTGCCCTCTGCTGTTTCTCAAATCCTCGTTCCTCCATCAGTTGACAAATACCAATGCTTGTTCTGTGAAAGACTCGTCAAGGCACAGTGGTGAATTTCCCTTCTTTAGTCCAACTCAGAGCAACTAGGTTTACATCTGAAGACAGAAAGAGCCTAAGGAAAAAGGGCCCAGAGAAAGAAACAAACCCCAACTGACATTTCTAATCAAAGATCAAAAGGGAGGGTGAGTATAAAGCCCCACAACAAAAGAGGCAAGGTTAAATTAAAGGGTACTAATAATAATGACAACAATGATATTAAAGGTAGCAAAAAGCAAATACAAGAACACAAAAGTATTCACAGAATTCAAACACTTTTTCTATGAAGACAAGCTTGTCTAAAGTAACCTGCCCTGGCCTGAAATGCATTATCCTGCTGCCCAAGCCTCCACCATTCCACCTGGCTTCAAACAACTTTAGGTTCAGAGAAAGCTACTGAGGTGGCGTTCCCATTGCAAAAGGTGCTTGCTTCCCGGTATATCTCTATGGAATTAGACATCTAGGATCTTTCCAACAAGCACCCATGGGAAGAGGGGATCCCAGACATAGTGCATTCTTGCGACTCAAATAGGGAGAAGAGGGACTTTTATTCTCCAGCTGAATATCAGGATAGTTGAAACCAAGCAGTTAACTGTCAGATGGATCCCTTGTTAATTCTGTCAACTCACTCACTCACTTGGGCATCCTCACTTCTCTGGGCTTCAACACCCTCATCTTAAGGGTGGCTTTGTAACAATCTAAACAAAATGTCATGACCAGGTGGCTCATTTTCCTCTCAAACATTATTTTTAAGAATTTGAATTACTGCCACAACCTCATAAATAGAATTATCTCCAACCTTTTAATTACCATAGTCTATGGAAGGAATGCTTACAAATAAAAATCCTGAGATTTCTGCATGTTTATGTGTAGTATGTGCTATGTTCACACGTATGGGCACATGTGGGGACGCATGTGTCAGAGGTTGACATCAGGTATCTTCCTTTAGATTTTGATGTATAATAATGGGCACATGTGAGTACAAGTACCCAGCACAAATACAAAGGCACCGGATTCTTTGGAGCTGGAGTGGGTACTGGGAACAGGTCCCACAGGTCTCTTCCTTCATCAGCCTCTACCTTATGTACTGAGGCAAGACCTCTCCTTTGAACCCAGAGCTTGTTGATTCAGATAACCTAGCTGGCCAGCTTGGCCCAGGGATGCTGTGTGTACCTGCTGAGCACTGGGATTATAGTAGGCCACCATGCCCACCTGGCATCTGTGTGGGTGCACAAACTCTGGTATTCGCCTTATGCAGCAGTTTGCCCAGCAGCCATCTCCCCTCCCCATACCCCTACCCAAGAATGCTATTGAGTCAAACTTCTGAATATCACTTCCCGGTTTCTTAGGAAGATCCTCCCTATAAAAAACAGTTTCACCCCCCCCCCCTTGGGGTTGGCTTCATGAAGGAAACCCTATGGTGAGAAGAGCTGGCCATTAAGTCTTTTCCTCGAATTTTAACTAGGTGTTACTCTTTTCACTCATACTTGCAGAGCTAACACAGAAAAATAACAAAACACTGCAAGTTTCCTAAAGGTGTCCATAGAAGCAATGTCATATGAAGATGGGCTACCAGAACAGGTCTGAGACAAAAGGAGATGAATCATATCTTGAAAGCTTTCCCAAAATAGAAGCTGGTGCATCTTTAACAGAAAGTGTGAATACCTGATCTCCAGATGACAATTTATCCCTCAGATACCTTTCCTAAGAGTGATTAAAAATAGACCCAATCCAGTACAGTGTGCCAATCATCCAGTGTCCCCACTTTTTATAATAAATAGCAAGTACTTTTTTATTATTACTTAGTATATATTATTACTTATGAGTATATAGTTTTTATATTTGAAGTATTATTTATTTTGTTTACATATTTTATAAATTATTAATAAAATATTATATATTAAATACTACTTAGTAAGTACTTAAATAAATGTAAATACTTTTACAAATAAAAGTAAAGCCTTTTTTAGCAAGGGTTTGTGAGAACCGTAGACAAACCCAGGGCTTTGCACATGCTGGGCAAGCTCTCTACCACTACGCAATATCCCCACTCTTTCTCTCTTTATCTTTTTATTGGGTTTGGATTTCAGAGGTCAAGTCTCACTATTACCTACTCACTAGCTTGGAACTTTCTATACAGACCTCCACTCGCCTCAGTAGGCCTACTGCCTCTGCCTCCCAAGTTCTGGAGTTATAAGAGCATACCATTATGCACTGCCTTTTTGTTTTTTTTCAGTCTCAAAACATGAAAAGGAAACTATATATATATATATATATATATACATATATATATATATACATATATATATATATATATATACATATATATATATGTATATATATATATGTATATATATATATATATATATATTTTAAAGGTTTGAAATCATTCTCTCATCTTTGTTTTATTTGGTATTTATAATGACTAGTGAAGTACCATTCTCATAGCCCCACGCAAATGACAGAAGATCAGAGAGTAAAGAAAGGGGGGGCAGAATGAGGATGCAGGTCAGTGGTAGAGCACATCTCTCACATACAAGGCCTTGGGTTCTGTCCCAACACTGCATAAAAGACATAGTGGTACCAGGAAGTGTTGCTTAACTTCCTGTTTTAGCACATGCACATGGTTACACACACACACACACACACACACACACACACACACACACACACACCACATACCCAGAGCATTCTGTTCTGTCACCTTAGAAACAAATACTATTTGCAAAATAAATAAATAAATGAAGTTATTAAAGTCCTAATTATCACTTTCAACAAATCATTCCAAATGGCTAATATATGCCAGTCCCAACAGGACCAGACTTAGCCACGTGATATAAAGTTCTGGGCGTGTTTTCTGTTGTATTGCTGTTGTTGTTTTGTTGTTGTTCCAGCACTATGTCAGCCTTTCTTATAATCCTTATGTTCTAAACTAAATTAAAGCAAACTAAAAAAAAATAAATACAAGTTTTGTTTAGAGAAAATTCGATTTTTGAAAAAATTAAAATTGCAACGGCTAATTAGCAGTACTTTGTTACTAAGTCAAGTGAGGGATGCAAAAGATTGGTTGTGTGTTATGTAGGCATATAAATATTGTCTAAATTAGGGTTGCTACAACGAAACACCATGAGCAAAAGGTAAGCTGGAGAGGAAAGGGTTTATTTGGCTTACACTTCAGCAATATTGTTCATCACTGATAGGGCAAAAAACTTGAACAGTGCAGGATCCCAGAGGCAGGAGCCGAAGCAGAGACCATGGAGAGGAGCTGCTTATTGGTTTGCTTCCCATGCCTTCCTCAAACCACCTTCTTATAGAATGCAGGACCATCTTGCTCATATGGCACCATCCACACGGGCTGAGCCCTCCCCCCCATTGATCACTAAATGAGAAAATGCCTTTCAGCTGGATCTCATAGAGGCATTTGCTCAGCTGAGGCTCCTTCCTCTGATGATTCTCACTTGTTTCAAGTTGTCACACAAAACCAGCCAGTACAAATATAATGTTCAGACTAATAACTGATTGCTGTCATTTCACGCTGACAAGAAAATAAGATGAAAGTAAACCTGTGTCAAAGAAGGAAACAATTACAATTATCTGAAAATGTTTTAACCACTGTCTAAGGGTTTCTATTGCTGTGATAAAACACCATAATGAAAAACTACTTGGAGAGGTGAGATTTTATTTCGTCTACGACTCTCAGGTCACTCCATCACTGAGGGAAATCAGGGCAGGAAGTCAAGGCAGGGCCCTAGAAACAAACTGGAAGGGGTCATGGAGGAACACTGCATACTGGCTTGTTCCCCTCCACCTCCTGAGCCTGCTTTCTTATAGCACCCAGAACCACCAGTTCAGGGATGGCACCGCGCACAGAGAGCTGGGCCCTCCCAAATCAACTGTCAATCAAGAAAATGCACCACAAGCCTATCAGGTGGGAGCATTTTCCCAATTAAAGTTCCCTCTTCCTAAACAACTCTAGCTTGTGTAAAGCTGACATAAAACCAGCTAACTCACCACTAATGCTATGACACTAAACAAGCAATTGTATGGCATTGTGGGAGGACTAGATGGTTTAGAATCTGAGAAACCAGAGTTCAAACGCCTGCTTTGCTACTATCTAGGGTAGTGACTATAAAGAAATTGTAATTAACCTAGGTCTTAATTCTTTCAATGTAAAGGGATAGAATCATTAAGTAACACAACCAATTGTCACAACGATTAAATGAGACACTACATGTACAAAATACAGAAACTTGTGCTTGAGTACAATAACAAAAACAAACAAACAAAAACAAAAAAACAGTGAGACAAGTAAGCATAAAGTAAGGAGTAATGCATTAGGAAGGTTTGAGCTGCACCTGACAGCTGGCCACCTCACTCAGCTGTGCCCCAGGCAGCACGGATCTTGTGTTCTTTCAATTATGGCTTCATGGCAAAAGAAGAGGGAGAGTCAGACACCAGCTCCTACCTGCTCATTTTCTGTCAATTAAGGCAAATTATTCTGCTATATCCAACTTACAGAGTGTAGGAAAGTAGGGTCCTTTACTACATTCAAGACGGGAAAGAAGCAGAGATCTTAACTAGCCTTGTGTGCTTTACGCTTTTAGACAAGTTGTGAAATTCTAGTCCACCTGAAACTTACCCAGAAAGTTTTCTGTTACTGGTGTGGACTTTTCGTTGTTTTAAGGTTTTCTTGTTCGCTTGTTTAGCAGGGCCTGACTGTGGAGAACCTCCTGGCCTCAGCCCCTGCCCCAGCTCCAGAATTACAGGCGTGTGCCACCATATCCAGCCTGGTTTTGCTCTATGTGCTACCCTGCCACACCTCTCAAGTATTCCTCTGCTCAAATGAGCACAGTATGCAAAAGCCAGCTTTGCTTTATAGCTCAAAGGCAGTCTGGGTAACTTAAGAATAGGAACTTCAAAATTCTTAAATCTAAAACTATATACTGCTTGGCAAATATCAACATCAATACACCTGCCCATACAGAGAACTTTGAGAAATATACACAACAATTTAGCTAAAGAAAGATTAGATTCTGTTACCCAGAAGTGTTTAGTCAGCAAGGTCACGTGGCTACAGGAGATGATTTTCTAATGCTCTAATTGCAGAGAAATGAGACATGTTTGAGACGATGCACAGGAGGCCAGGGAGGTGGCTTTGTCAGGAAACTACTTCTTGCACATGCATGAGCCAGGTGTGGCAGTGCACGTCTCAAAGCCTAGCTCGGGTAGAGGGAAACAGGTGAGTTTCCAGAGCTCACTGGCCAGTCTGTCCAACTGGAGAGGTAGGGCCAAGTTCAGTGAGAGACCCTCTCAAAAAATAAAGTGGAGAGCAAGGAAAGCACCCATATCAACCTCTAGCTTTGTCACATGTGTGAACATACATGTGCACAAACTTACATATACAAATATCCCCCACACAAAAGATACGGGTTGCCTGAATGTCCTGAGTTCATTATTACACTATATATGTATGTATATGTATACATACATATATATACATATACATGTATGTATATATGATATACTTCATAAAGGTATACAATTATCTCTTAATTAAAATTCTTATTTTTAAATAGAGGGAAAAATAATAAGTTCTTATTTTTTAAACAGGAAGAAAAGTAACTAATACTTTTCACCGAGGCTGAAAAGATGATTCAGCAGTTCAGAGCACTTGTTGCTCTTCCAGGTGACCTGTGATGAATTTGCAGCACACACATGACAGCTCACAATCATCTGTAACTCTAAGTTTCCACACCCTCTTCTGGACTCTGCAGCCACCAGGCACACAGGCGGTATACAGACAAGCACACAGCAAAACATCCAAGCACATAAAATAAAAAGCACAGAACTTATTGAATCCAGAGTAACTGTCTGGACATCCCACAGACCAGGAGAAGTTAAAAGGTGTGTCATATGACCAAGGCTTCAAATGAGTTGTTAAAATGAGCAGGTTCTTCAGGAAGCTGGTGATGCCACTGAGAGGCATAAAAGAAAATAGCAAAATACACGAATCCCAGCCCGAATAGCAAAGATAAGCAATGTTCTAAGGCCCATGTGGGCTCCTCAGCTTTCCTTTCCTGGAGGCAGAAAGCCATGCAGGACCTTGGCAAGCTTCTGAGTAGAAACAGACAGGCCTCACAAATCACCAATGACTGTTCATTTCTGTCAACTTTCCCAGCAACACTTCTGTTAGATCTGAAGGCTGACAGTTCGCCCTGGGAACTTTATGTCACAAAGGGTAAGAATGTCTCTCACAAAAGGGCTCTCCTAGGCCTTAGGGTTTTGCATGAGAGCAAATGAAAATCTTGATTTCTGAACCCAGGTGCTGAGGTACACCAATGGACCATGGCTGTAGCTGACACACCTTCTAACCTCTGTCCCTCCTCTGCCCTGTCCCTGCCCCCCTACTTTCTTCAGTCCAAGAAATTCATCCAGTTGTGGGGCTTCCCTTTCCTTCTCCATTCTCATTTTCCTTTTTCTCCTGTTTAATCCCCTAATGTCTTACTCCCTCAGATAATACCGCTCGAATTCTAACCAGGAGAGCTGGCTTCCGGCAGCAGGAGCAGAGTGTCTTCTACCTGCCCATCCTCATAGCCGACAGCGGACAGCCAGTGCTCAGCAGTACGGGCACACTCACCATCCAAGTGTGCAGCTGCAATGATGATGGCCACGTCATGTCCTGCAGCCCAGAGGCCTATATGCTCCCAGTCAGTTTGAGCCGGGGAGCTCTCATCGCCATCCTGGCCTGCATTTTTGTCCTCTTGGGTGAGTTGGTGGCTCCTTTTGTATGTGTGTGTTGGGAGGGACCACATGTTTTTAGACATGAGTCAGTTAAGCCCCTATCTCAGCTATTCAGCACTGGTCTTCTTGTCTCAAGATTACTTCACAGGTGGTAGAGTGAAGCTTGGACAAAAGTACAGAAGTTGAAGACAGTCCCTTCCCTCATGGCCTCTTTGGCAAGATTAGAGCACATAGATTTATCAAGTGTCTAGTATGGCCTGAAGACCATACTAGGCCTGGGATTACTAACACAGAAACACCCTGGCCTTCATAGTTTATCTCAGGTGATAGAAGTTCATATAGACATGACAGAACAAATTTACATGGGAGAGGATATGATAATCATGTCTTCAAATGCATTTCCGGTAAGTAGCAATTATACCCTGCAGACTGAACAGAAGGCCCAAAGCCAATGTCAGAAGCAGATCCAGGCCTGACATGCAGGCAGGCCATGCACTGGTCACCTTTCCTAGGTGACACTCTTTCCTAGCCGGCGCCTGTCTCACCTCTACCCTGTCTACTGAGTCAAGCCACGGCACGTATTTCTTGCTTAGAGAAAAGCAAATGGGATAGACAACATTCTTATTCGATATAAATAGACCCCCACAGCTGCTGTGTTTATACCCTGTAATCCCAGCACTCACGAGGCTAAGGCAGGAGGACTGCTACAAGCTTAAAGCCATCCTGGTCTGCAGAGAGAGCTCTAAGCCAGCCTAGAAATCCTTGACTACATAATCAGACCCACCATCTCAAAATAAATGAATAATGAAAGAGAAAGAAATTTCAGCAACTTAACCCGGAAGAAAAATATAAAGCACTAGAAAGGAGTGGAGGGAGGGGAATTCAAATTATTTAGACTTGCATTTCTAGTTTACCTAAACACCAAGAGACTGAGTCACACGAAAGGAATATTCACTGTGGAAAATGTCAGTCAGCATTGCACTGAGTTTCTACATAGGCCTGTGGAATAGATTCATCAAAACACATTTTACAATATGACGTGGGCTTTGGTTGTATTGGGGTGGTCTGCCTTATATTACAAGAGAGGAACATAATCTTCCAGAAAGAGTTATGGTTCTGCCCTTGGCTGGCTGTACAAAGCAAAACATGCCTGCAATTCCTTATATTTCCACAAGGTGGCACAAGGAGACCTTGAGCGGGGAACACGGAGCTTTCCCCCTAAGTAAACTGCTCCTAGGAGAAATTTCCCTGTGTGTGTGTGTGTGTGTGTGTGTGTGTGTGTGTGTGTGTGTGTGTGTGTGTGTGTACAAATCAACCGCAGTGTAAACCTGGTAGTTGTGTGAATTGTATTTAACCTGGATTGTGTACTTTGAGAAGTAAACAAGTGTGAAACTAGTGGGATTTTATGACACTCATGCTTATCTTGGCTTCTAGAAACTTCTTATTCTGTACAGTTTAAAAGATGGGTCTTAGTTTACAAACGAATTAGCTCCTGCACAGCACACTGAGCCAATCTCTTTAAGTCAGTGCTTCTGTAATGATGGCTTTTTGTGGGCCAGAATGAACTTACCGTCTTTTCCAAGAACAGCCAGCTTTGATCATGTTGATTCAGAGAGCCTTGTTCTCCTGATGTCCTCCCTCTCCTCTGGCTCCTCCTCCTCCTCCTCCTCAAAGTTCCCTCAGCCCTGGGGGAAGAATTTGATGAAGACATCCCATTTAGAAACTTTAGAACTGAGTGTCCAAAACTATCTTTCCTCCCCCCCCCCCCCACCGGTTTCTTTCCCGTCTGGCTGTGGGTCTCTGTGTTTGTCCCCCATCTGCTGCAAGAGGAAGCTTCCCTGATGATGGCTAAGCAAGGCACTGATCTACAAGTATAGCAGAGTGGAAGTCATTTTACTATTACATCCTTTTACTAGAACAGTGGCATTTGGTTTTACCCTTGGTCCCTGAGCCATCTAGTCTTAGTGTCAGTCATCTCACAGAGTGCATCTTAAGTCATTAAGCCCCTGGCTGGTTATTTCCACAAGCTCTGTGACACCATTGCACTAGCATATCTGGAAGAAACACCATTGTAGACTGGAGGGTTTGTAGCTCTGTTCCTTATCTTTCTCCTTTGGTAGCATGCAGAGTATCAAAGCCACTAGTCCATAGGGTTCTTTGTAGGCACCAGCTCTATTTCTCCATGTTCAAGGAACTGTATTTGTATTGCCTTTGGAAAAGAGCCTTTACCTTCTATTTGTGTAGAGTAGCCTATAGTCTTGGCAACATCCTGTGTTGTTTGGAGATTCCTCAATTAGATGCAGCACACTCCCAGTACTGGAAGCTTCACTTGGTGACAAGGAATAGCTAATTGAGACCCTGTCTCCTGATTTTTTTGGCCATTTTGTTTAGATCACCTGTATTTATCTATATATTTTAGAAAGTTTCAATTGTATTAGGTTTCCATATCGTCCTTCAATTAGCCCTTATCTTAGCTGTCTTACCCCATATTCCCCTCCTTAGTCCTCCTTTCTTCTCCCCTTCCCTACTTGACTTCTCATTCCAGTCTGCCCCGCCCCCATATCCAACCCTAACTATCTAATCTATTTCCCTTTCTTTAGGGAGATCTATCTGCTCCACCTAGTTTCTTATTCTATACCTGACCTCTGTGGTTCTATAGATTGTAGCTTGGTTGTCATTGACTTGACAACTAATATTCCAAATAAGTGAATGCATACCATATATCTTTTTCTGGGTCTGTATTACCTCATTCACAATGATTTTCTTTTCTTGGTTCCATTCATTTACTTGCAAATTTGTTTAATGGTTGAGTAATACTCCATTGTGAAATGTGTCACATTTTCTTTACCCATTCTTCTATTGAGGGATTTCTTGGTTGATTCCAATTTCTGGCTATTATGAGTAAAGCACCAATAAACATGATTGAGCAAGTGTCTCTGTGGTGGGATGAATTCTTTTGGTATATGCCCAAGAGTGGTACAGTTGGGTTGATCCCCATCTCCCCCTAGGAACTGGGACAGTGATTTCCATAGTGGCTGTACAAGTTTGCACTCCCACTGGATAAGCATTCTCCTTATTCCACATTTGTAACCAGATACTTTTCTTTGTTCCTCCCAGTCCCACTGGACGAGTTTCTCTCTGACTTGGCAGTCCCCATGGCTACTTATAAAATACTCACTCAGAGGCTTAATATTAATTATAATTGCTTGCTTAATGGTTCAGGCTTATTATTATCTAGCTCTAATGCCTTAAATTAACCCATTTCTATTCATCTATATATTGTCACATGGCCATGGTGTTACCTCATTTTCTACATGTGTTACTTCCTTGCCAGCTGGCTAGCATCTCTCAGACTCCACCCTCCTTCTTCTGTATCTCTTCTTAGATTTCCCACAAACTAAAACAGCTTTATTCACCAACCAATAAAAGCAAAACATATTCACACTCTACATAACATTGCACATTCTTGCCAGCACAAAGTGTCCCTTGATTTCTTGATCTTAGCCATTCTGATGGTTGTAAGATGACATCTCAAAGAAGTTTTGATTTGTATATTTCCCTAATGACTAATGGCATTGAACATTTCTTTGTTTCTCACCATTTGAGTTTCCTCTTATACCCTATATTTTAAGTAAGCTATTTTCTTTATATACAGTCTATTTTGTCCTTTATAATTTTGGATATTGGTCCTCTTGGGAAAAATCTTTTCCCCTTCTGAAAACTGCCACTTTGTTTGAATGACCTTGTCCTTTGCCTTATAGAAGCTTTTCAGTTTCGTGAGTCCCATTGTTGATCTTACTGTCTGTACTATCTGTGTTTTGTTCTTGTGTTGTCTCCTGTGCCAATGCATTCAAGATGATTCCCAACTTTGTCTTCTATCAGGGTCACTGTGTCTGGTTTTACTTTGAGATCTTTGATCCACTTAGACTTGAGTTTTGTACAGAGTAGTAAGTATAGAGGAGTTATTACAATTATTGTACATATAGTTTGGCCAGCACCACTCACTGAAGATGCTATCGTTTTTACATAGTATAGCTTTAGTTTCTTTATCAAAACTCAGGTACACAGGCATCTTCACCTGGGTCCATCTGGGTCTTCAACTCAATTCTGTTAATAAACTCTATCTCTTTTGTGTTAGTATCATGAAGTTTTTATTACTATAGCTCTGTCGTACAATTTGAAGTTGGGGATGTTGATATCTCTAGTGGTTCTTTGATTATTCAGGATTGTTTTAACTATCCTGGTTTTGTGTGTTTTATATGAAGCTGAAGAGTGTCAATCCAAGATTTGTGAAGAATTTTATTAGTATTTTGATGGGATTGCATGGAATCTGTAGATTGGTAGGATAGCCATTTTTACTATGTTAATCCTACTGATCCATGAGCATGGGAGATTTTTCCAGCTTCTGATGACTTTTTCAGTTTCTTTCTTTAAAGACTTGAAGATTTTATCATACACATCTTTCACTTGCCTGGCTAGAGTTACTCCAAGATGTTTTATATTATTTGAGGTTGTCGTGAGGATGCTATTTCACTGATTTCTTTCTCAGTCCATTTGTCATTTGTGTATAGGAAGGTTACTGATTTTTCTGAGTTTCTTTTGTTTCCAGATACTCTGCTGAACGTGTTTATCAACTGTGGTTTCTCAGTGTAATTTTTAGGGTCACTTGGGTATATCATACAATTTGCAAAGATATTTGACTTCTTCCTAATTTGTATACCCTTGATCTCCTTCAGTTGTCCTATTGCTAAAGCTAAGACTTCAAGTGGTATACTGAATAGGAATGGAGAGAGAAGACAATCTTGTCTTGTTCCTGATTTTAGTGGAATTTCTTTGGATTTCTCTCCATTTATTTTAGTGTGGCCTATGGGATAGATATAAACTGCCTTCATTATGTTGAAGTATAAGCCTCTTGCAGTCTTAAATTTTCCACAGCTTTTTACCATGAAGGGGTATTAGATTTTGTCACAAGCCTTTCCTGTGTCTAATGAGATGATCTTGTAGTTTTGGTTTTTCCATTTATT